TTTTTTTTTTTTTTTGTAAACTGATACAATGTTAAATATTGTCAATAGAGGGAACTAGAGAGACATTGCAGAAAGCACAAGGTCTTCCTGCTTGTAAATTTAATTTAATTTATTTCTTCTCAGTTAATTGGATTTTATCCAATTATATATCAGTGATGAGGACAATGGTACAAATAGATCAATTATTTATTTTAGAAGATATTTTTTGGTAGATTCATGATGACTTACTAATTTCTCTGAAAAGTTTTTTAAATCTAGCATTATATTTTTATTATATTTATGTGAGTTTTTAAAGTAAAAATAACAAACTGTAAAATTGGAGAAAATTACTCACTTTTTTTTAAGGCAGGGTTTCTCTGGCTTTAAGCACTTTCTTCAGTGCCTTTCTTGGTGAGGGCTGGCTGTCTCTGTTTACCATGAGACAGTCTTCTTCAGGTGCTTACTTTGGTATAGTCTTGGACAAATCACAGAATCATGTACTCTAGGGTTTGGAGCAGTTCATAGACAAATTCTGTCCAGTTTCTTCATCTGGATATGAAGGGTTGTACTATGTGCTCTCAAATCCCTTCCAAATCTCTCTGAAGACATGCACACATGACTATCAGTTGAGCAAATAATTTCCAGTTTCAACTATGCTTCCTACTGAAAGTCCATTGTTGTTTAATGAATTACTGAAATTGTAAATTTTATTTAAAATATACACTGAGTAAGGTTTGGCTTTTTTGAGGTGTGAAATGCTTATTAGAGTTTCAATTTTTTTTTTCAAAGCTTATTTATTTTGAGAGAGAGAGAGAGAGAGTTCACATGTGTGTAAGCATGAGAGGTGCAGAGAGAGGAACAGAGAATCCCAAGCAGGCTCCACACTGTCAGCACAGAACCCAAAGTGGGGCTTGAACTCAGACTCATGACCCGTGAGATCATGACCTGAGCCAAAATCAAGAGTTGGACACTTAACCAACTGAGCCACCAAGGTGCCCTTAGAATTTTGATTCTTTAGCCCACATTGGTCATATGATGCAAACTTCCTGGCCTTTAGCTTCCTGATTAGAAAGTAATATAATGAGAAGATAACGTGGGATTTTTGTTTAACTAATAAGCACTTTCTGAATACTTATAATGTGCCAGGCACTATAGAAGGCACTGAGGAAACAAAATTAATACGTGATTCCTGTCTGTCCTCTATATTTAGGGTGACTTGGAGGAAGAAACTGTTGTTATAAAGGTCAGCTGGGAAGCCTTTGTGGTCCATCGCTTATAAATTACAACATACTATTTCCCTATTTTTAATGTTTCCTATTAGATATAAAACTATCTTTCATAAAAAGTAAGATAGGATGGAGATCATTCAAGATGTGCTGTGTCAAACTGAAAAAAACTTGAGTTAAGATTTGATAAGAGGCAAGAATATAGGGAATGCAAAGTAGAAATTAGACTTGTTGACGAAGTACTTTGAAACTCACATGAGAGGGTGAACTTCACACACTATGAGCACTTTGAGGGTGTTGAGGTGTATGGCAATAGAACTTCTTGTAAATGCAAAATTTTGGTACCACTGCACGCGAGATGGTTAAAGTACATTAATACGGGCTAGCCAAAGCAGATCAGAAAGAAATAAAACAAACTCAGGAGCTAAAATTAAGATTTGGAAAAGCGACACTCCAACACCTAGACTAGAAACACACACTAGCGCTGGGAGCCCCCCTCCCAGATGCACAATAACCTCTCCTCTCAAAGACTTAGATGTGCTACAAGGGGGCTGTCAGGCTTTACCATTTCTGACTAGGAGATTATAGTCATTTGATTTTAGGCAACGCTCTCGCTACAAAGGCCAAAATCGGACAGGGGCCAGAAACACAAGAGCAAGGCCAGTCAACCACCACCAGCCAGCAGCTGCCACGCTCTCCTCCCAGCGCCCCCTCAGAGAAAGCTGGCTTCCTATTGGACCAACCTGAGGGTGTGGGCCGCTCCCGATTGGTTTAGAGGAGGGGGCGGGAGAGAGGCGTGCCCTGATGTCATGCCAGCCCCTAAAGTATCCCTACCGCTCAGGATTGTGGGAAGGAGAGGAAGTAACCGGAGACGAAAAAAATATAAACCGCAGCAACCTTTACGGGCCTGGACCGGCCCTGTTGCCGAGCTGGGGTTCCCTCCCACCAACCGGGTGAGCTCCGCCCTTACGCCCCGCCCAAGCCGGGGAATCAGGTGACCGCGGCCCGGCAAAGTCACGTGGCTGGGGCGCGCCCGCCCGTCGTGGCCATGGCGGCCGCAGGTTCCAGTGTGGTAAGGCGAGTGGAAGAGCTCGGGGACCTGGCTCAGGCTCACATACAGCAGCTTAGCGAAGCCGCCGGCGAAGATGGTGAGGGAGCGGAGGAGAGTGGGGCGGGCGGGCTGGCCGTAGTTCATAGCTGGCACTCGACCGCGGTACGGGCTGGAGGCTGCGGCCTGTGCTCGGTGTAGATCCCAGGCCAGAGCTACCGAAGGTGTTGCACTTGTGACCCTCGCTGCACCGTCGATTGTCCACCTCCAGAAACTCACGTTGCCTTAAGCCAAAGCATTTGCGTCTACACTGCGTTTTTCATAACCCATGAAAACCGCTTACATGTCAGTCAAATCAGTGCTGCTCGTCTTTATGCCTATAGCGATTGGGAAAAGAGTAGAATCTGGATAAAAGTACAAAAGTTTAAATGAGTAGTTAAAGCTGACTGATAGTACGCTGATAAGTAATGATTGGGGTGCAGTAAAGATAGCTAGGCATGTGTAACAGTTAAACTTTTTAATTGCTGCCTTATAAATTTTCGTCTTCTGTTTTGGATTCTAAATCCAACTGTAAACAATACAGAAGAGCTTTGCATTCGTATAGTTTGGACGATTCTTTTCTATACATCGCCTCAGTTCTCACCACGGCTCTGTTAGTGTTAGAACACTTGTTTGGAAAGGTCCAAGTGTTTTCCTTAGGAAAGACTGGCTTAGAGAATTACTGCGACTTTTAAGTTTAATTGTCTTATTACATCTCAGCTCCCTATAGGTTCTACATTATTTTATTTTTGAGTTTTGAGCATTTAGTAATACAGATAGGCTTTTAAATTCTGGTGGTCTGACTCATTGTCATCAGACTTATAGGAAAATAGTAGTGGAACATTTTGCCAGATTATTGATTGTTGGTGAATTTATTGAATAGGGTCCACAATGAAATGGCTCAAGTTCAATAAAGATTATTTGCTTGATTATCTTTTTTTAGAGTATGTTTTTCAAAATCCACAGACCACCCTGAAGCTGACTTCTTTTTTGGTTTGTGGTAAGTGAATCCCAGGATTCACATGAATAGTTTATCCACCGTAGTGGCTATTACCTGGAAGTGTATCCAGATTACCTCTAAATAAGCTATGCAGTGATCTTCACCCCACACCAGCTCCACTTAAACCAGACTAAAGAGATCAAAGAGTGTTTTTTATTCACTTATCACTGAGCCCAAAAGTCATTCTCATTTTTCCATGGAAGAGTTCTTTACTCCAGACTAGAATAAGGGGTGGAAGTAAAAGTAAAGTGGTGGGGCACAGAAGTGGCTCAGCTGGTTAATCATCCTACTTTGGCTCAGGTCATGATCTCATGGTTGGTGGCTTCCAGACACCATTGGGCTCTCCACTCTCAGCAAGGGGCCCGCTTCAGATCCTTTGTCTCCCTTTCTCTCTCTGCTCCCTCCCCTGGTCACTCTCTCTCTCTCAAAAATAAATAAACATCAAAAAAATTTAAAAAGTAAAGTGATGTATGTCCTTGTTGAGAGACATTATTTGATTTTTTAATTTTTAAAGATTTTAGTTTTAGGTAATCTCTGCACCCAGCATGGGGCTCAAATTTACAGTCCCAAGATAAAGAGTCATATGCTCCACCCAATAACTAGCCAGGCACCCCTTTTTGGGAGACTTTAAAGTTGTGAAGGTTTACTAAAACTAAAATAATAGTGATCTTCGTTATGAGCTATTAATGAGTATTAATGGCAACATTTTCTTATTTTATGAAGTTAAATTAAAACATGGTTGCAGATGTTTGAACTGAACTTGGCATTCTTTTCCACACAACAAAAATAATATTCACTCAAAATGTGTCCTTTCCTGTAACAGCTACATATTTGTATTACATTATAGGAATTGATAGTTTTCTGTTTTCTACTTCAAATGAGATGAGATACAACTAGACATTATTCTAAGATTGCTCTCCTTTTTATTTCTGGTCAATTTTTGTTCTTTATTTCTCATTGTACAAGCACAATATGTTCAGTATATAGAAATATGCCATGAGAGGGACTTTTTCCAGAGGTTATGTAAGAGTCACTTGTCTTTGCCTTGCCAGTTGTCACTTTGAATGGTTCTAGTAAAAATGTTATATTTTATAAAAGTTTGCTAAAATGTGAGCCATTATCCCCTCTCCCCTGTACTCAGGAATTCATGTGAGATACTCCTTCAGCAATGGTTTAGTGAATTCAGTACAAGTCTTTACATTTAAAATAATCTTGCAAATTAAGAAGAAAATGTCAACTCAGTTTCTAAAGCACATATAGAGTGCCATGTTCCATTCACAGTGGAATTTTTTTTCCCCCCAGGTTGGGAGATGCTACTTCTGGGCTGAGAGATTGGAAAGCAGTGCTAAAGAAGTAGCTTTCAAAGCAAAAAAATAGTGGATCTTAAATCAATCAGAATCTGGTTTAGATACAGGCTAGTCCTCACTTGGAAAAACTTAAGGTCATCGTATGGTTGCCAACAGACATAATGAAGCTGGTGTTGCTTTCACTCCAATACTAAACAACTTACTATTTGTATAAGTGCTAAAGCTGGATCAGATGGGCCTGCACTAAGTTCCACATTTTCTGTCTGTTGGCTAGTGTTGGAAAGGATACATATTTCTGAAGGGAAGCACAGAAAGGGCAAATTCAGGGACTTTGAAGTCTTGATGGTAGGCATGTCTAAATTTGACTACATGAGATGGTGCAGAAGGGTAGATAAATAGCACCTTGGTATGGACACTTGGCAGGTTAGGGAGGAAAAATCTATAAGAAAAAAGTGAAACCATGAAAACAAAGGGAATATGATACTGGAGACAGGGAAGAAATTAGACAACATAGGGGCGCCTGGGTGGCTCAGTTGGTTAAGCATCCGACTCTTGGTTTCCGCTCGGGTCATAATCTCATGGTTTGAGTTCGAGCCCCTCATTGGGCTCCAAGCTGACAGTGTGGAGCCTGCTTGGGATTCTCTGTCTCCCTCTCTCTGCCTCTCCCCCACTTGCGCTATCCCTCTCTCTCAAAATAAATAAGGAAACTTAAAAAAAATTAAAAAAAAAAAGAAATTAGATAATGTAGAGGGGAGAGAGGGTGAATTGTTTTTAGAGGGCATATTAGAATACTTTCTTTGAAAGAATTAGGTAATTTGTTCCACTTACAGGTTTTTAAAGGAATAAAATATGCAGATGGATTATGTAATTTTTTAGATTATGTAATTTTGATTATAACAGCTATTTACATACATAAATACATAAACAGGATAAAGTTAAAATTGCTCAGAGCTTACATTTTTGGTGCACTTGATTTAATCAGTCATGTTCTTTTAGGAAATACATTTATGAAATTATAAGTTTTTAGTGGAAGCCCTTTCTGTAGATTTATGTATATTGTTTGTACTATTCGAATACAAGTTTTCAATTATTTAAATATTTTGAGTATGTCAACATCATAAAAGCAGCACTATGAAAATGAACATACAAATTGCATTTAAGAAATGGCAACTGAACCTGGAGAAGTTCAGTCTAGCTATTGAGAATAAATTACTGTGATGAATTTAAGTAGGATTAGGCATTATGATGTACTTCATTGTTTACATAAGATATTACTACCATGCTGCGTCTTCATGCTGTAACATAATATGATTTCAGATACACCATTTTTTTTTGTTTAAAGAACACCTTGAAACTATATGAAATTCATGTTTTTGTCTCTTACAGATCACTTTTTAATTCGGGCTTCTGCAGCTCTAGAAAAATTGAAACTTCTGTGTGGAGAAGACAAAGAATGTTCAAACCCATCAAATCTTCTAGAACTTTACACACAGGTACTGAAACAGATATGGTTTCTGAGATGATATGGAGACAGATTGCCTATATAAGATGATTGACTCTGACCCCAAAGTTTAGGTGTAGTGAAACCAATTTATTCTCTATTTAAAGTGTTTGATTTTGGGGGCGCCTGGCTGGCTCAGTTGGTAGAGCATGCGACCCCTAATCTTGAAGTTGTAAGTTTGAGCCCCACATTGGGTGTACAGATTGCTTAAAAATAAAATCTTAGAAAAAAAAAAAAAAAAGTGTTAGGGCACCTGGGTGGCTTAGTTGGTTAAGGGTACAACTCTTGGTTTCAGCTCAGGTCACGATCTCACATTTTGTGGGATTGAGCCCCACATGGGGCTCTATGCTGACAGTGGGGAGCCTGCCTTGGATTCTCTCTCTGTCCCTCTTTATCTGCCCCACCCCCACTCGCATGCTTATGCTTGCTCGCCCTCACTCTGAAAATTAAATAAACCTAAAAGAAAAAATAAAGTGTTTAATTTTGGTCAGAAAAACCCCTTTATGTATAAAACATATAGACTTGAAACTTTGAAACTATAGAAAGAAGATTTATTATTTAATGTATTGTTAAGGAAAAAAATCTTGTAGATAGCAGAATTGCTTCCCTTTATATTTCATTGAGCAAAACACTAGTACATGCAATTTCCAAGCTTTTGAAAGTTATTCAGAGGGAATAAAGGTCTCTGTAAGGTCCCTGATTATTTTTTTTCCCTGAAATTCATCTTTTTTTGGGATCCTCCACATGACTCTCCTGCTATTGTCATGCAACTGTAAAAAATTTTTCTGCACCCCAGTCTCCCCCCTGCTGCTTTTTTTTTTTTTTTTTTTTTTTTTTTTTTTTACTTTCCTTTCAAATTCAGGTCTCTGTATGGGGAAGACCTAGTTTGGTTTTCTCAAACACTGCTGAGGCAAGTTGACATTAAGAAACATAATTTCATTATAGTAACTAACGTTCTTATAGCTCTTTATGGTTGACAGAGTGCCTTATATGCTTTACTTGATAATGAAGACGAAGTGGTTATGAAGAGTAGAGTAAACATAGTTAAGCTTTCAAAGTACACATGTATAGCATTTAGGGGCCTGGCACTCTACTTCTTATTGGGAGGTACATAAAGCTGGTTTCCGCCTTCAGATATCATGGTTGACTGAACCTATAACAACTACTCATAAAACGCAAAGGGCTGCTGTTACTTGGCAGAGCTCTGCCTGGCTTTCTTTCCCTTTGGAAGACTCCCTGCTTGTTTCATTTCTTTCAGTGAGAGAGTTGTAAACATTTTTTTTCTCTTCAGATTTTTATTTAAATTCTAGTTACTTCACATACAGTGTAATAACTGGTTTCAGGAGTAGAATTCAGTGATTCATCCCTTACAACACCCAGTACTCATCATAACAAGTGACCTCCTGAATACCCATCACCCATCTAGCCCATCCCCCACTCATCTCCCTCCATCAACCCTGTTTGTTCTCTTTCACAGCCTCTTGTGCGTTGTTACCCTTTCTGTTTTCGGTGTTTCCCCACCTCCCCTATGTTCATCTCCTTTGTTTCTTAATTCCACATATGAGTAAAATCATATGGTGTTATTCTTTCTCTGGCTGACCTATTTTGCTTAGCATAATATACTTTAGTTCCATCCATGTTGTTGCAAATAGCAAGATTTCATTCTTTTTGATCACCGAGTAATATTCCATGTACACACACGTGTACACACACACACACAGACACACACCACATCTTCTTTATCCATTCTCAGTTGATGGACATTTGGGCTCTTTCCATACTTTGGGTATAGTTGATAATGCTGCTATAAATATTGGGGAGCATGTGCCTCTTTGATTCTATATTTTTGAATCCTTTGGGTAAATACCTAGTAGTGCAATTGCTGGATTGTGGGGTAGTTCTAGTTTTAATTTTTTGAGGGACCTCCGAACTGTTTTGCAGAGTGGCTACACCAGTTTGCATTCCTACCAACAGGGTAAGAGGGTTCCCCTTTCTCCGTATCCCTGCCAATACCTGTTGTTTCTTGTATTATTAATTTGGTATCTTATCATGATTTTGATTGATACTTCCCTAATGATGAGTGATGAAGAGCATCTTTTCATGTGTCTGTTAGCCATCTGTATGTCTTCTGTGAAAATATGTTCATGTCTTTTGCCCATTTCTTCACTGGATTATTTGTTTTTTGGGTGTTGAGTTTGATAAGTTCTTTATATATTGTGAGTACTAACCTGTTATCAGATATGCCATTTGCAAATATCTTCTCCTATTATATAGGCTGCCTTTTAGTTTTGTTGACTATTTCCTTTGCTGTGCAGAAGCTTTTTATCTTAATGAACTACTAATTTATTTTTTCTTGTTTTCGTTGCCCTCAGTGATGTGTCTGGTAAGAAATTGCTCCAGCCTAGGTCAGAGAGGTTGCTGCCTGTGTTCTCCTCTAGAATTTTGATGGTTTCCTCTCTCATATTTAGGTCTTTTATAAATTTGAATTTTTGCATATGGTGTCAGAAAGGAGTGCAAATTCAATTTTCTACATGTTGCTGTCCAGTTTTCCCAACATTTTTGTTGAAGAGTCTGCCTTTTTTCCATCAGGTATTCTTTCCTTCTTTGTTGAGGATTACTTGACCATGTAGTTATAGATCCATTTCTGGACTTTCTGTTCTGTTCCATTGATCTGTGTGTCTGTTTTTGTGCCAGTACCATACTGTCTTGATGACTACAGTTTTGTAATATAGCTTAAAGTCCGGAACTATGATGCTTCCAGCTTTGCTTTTCTTTTTTATGATTGCTTTGGCCATTTGGAGTCTTTTGTCGTTCCATACAAATTTTAGGATTGTTCTAGCTCTGTGAAAAATGCTAATGGTATTTTGATAGAGATTGCATTAAATGTGTACATTGCTTTGGGTAGTATGGACATTTTAACAGTGTTCTTCCAATCCATGAACATGGAATATTTTCCTTTTTGCAGTGGGGGGGGGGGGGGGGGGTCCTCTTCAATTTCCTTCGTAAGTGTTACACGGTTTTACTGTTACACAGTTTTACTGGTTAGGTTTGTTCCTAGGTATCTTACGATTTTTGGTGCATTTGTAAATGGGATTGATTCCTTGACTTTTCTTTCTGCTGCTTCGTTATTGGTATATAGAAATGCAACAGATTTCTGTACATTGACTTTATATCCTGAGACTTTGCTGAATTCATGTATTCTAGCAATATTTTGGTGGAATCTTTGGGTTTTCTACATAGAGTAACATGCTGTCTGTAAATAGTGAAAGTTTGACTTCTTCCTTGCTGATTTGGATGCCTTTTATTTCTTTTTGTTGTCTGATTGCTGAGGCTAAGACTTCCAGTATTATGACAAATAGTAATGGTGACAGTGGGCATCTGTCTTGTTCCTGACCATACCGGAAAAGCTCTCAGTTTTCCCCCATTTGAGGATGATATTAGCTGTGAGTCTTTTGTATATGGCCTTTATGATGTTGAGGTATGTTCCATTTATTCCTACTTGTTGAGGGTTTTTATCAAGAATGGATGCTGTATTTTGTCAAATGCTTTTCTGCATCTATTAAGAGGGATCATACAGTTTTTATCCTTTCTTTTATTAATGTGGCGTATCATATTGAATGATTTGCGGATACCAAACAAGCTCTGTAGCCCAGGAATAAATCCCACTTTATTGTGGTGAATAATTCTTTTCATGTACTGTTGAATTCTATTTGCTAGTATCTTATTGAGAATTTTTGCATCCATGCTTATCAGGGATATTGACCTGTAATTTTCCTTTTTATTGGGTCTTTGTCTGGCTTTGGAGTCAAGGTAATGCTAGCTGCATAGAAGGAGTTTGGAACTTTTCCTTCCATTGCTAGTTGTTGGAACAGGTTAAGAAGAATAGGTAGTAACTCTTTAAATATCTGGTACAATTCCTCTGGGAAGCCATCTGGCCCTGTACTTTTATTGGGAGATCCTTCCTTCTTTCCTTCCTTCCTTCCTTCCTTCCTTCCTTCCTTCCTTCCTTTCGAGAGCATGGATGGTTGACACGGGCAGGGTCGGGGGGAGAGAGAGAGAGAGAGAGGGA